TACCTCCGTTCTGCCACATCTGCAAGACGTCAGGGCACCCGCGCACGCACTGCCCGAATCGACAACAGTCAACGCCTTCACAGCGGCAGCTTCGACCTTCAAGCAATCAAGTCGCCTCAACACAAGCAAATCCTACGACCCAGATTAAAGCCTCAACGACCTCAACGGGACAACCTGCACAAGGAGCAAGGAACATCGTCAGTTGCATGGCAAGACTGAGCGACTCTTGCATCACGGGATCACCACCGTACTACTCACCGGAAGAACAACTCGACGACACCACACCTCACCGCGATTCACTCCAGCCGAATCCAACATACGCAGCCATCGCCCAAAGCGAGCCATCCGCAAAGGACACGTGGTTCTTGGACAGTTGCTGCGGATAACACATGTGTTCTTCAGGACGCTTCGTGCAACGAGAGTACCAACTCCAATGCGAAGTAGTCATCAGCGTCGCCAACAACGAAAGCCTGCGCACACGACGACAAGGAATCGTTCAACTTCAGTCACGAGAGACAAACGTCATACTACAAATGTCCAAGGTCTTAATCGCAGAAGGCCTCGGCTACAACTTACTCAGCGTTAGCCAACTGATGGCTGAAGGTATCCACCTTGAAGCACACAGCACCACTCAGGAGTTCAAGCTGTACCACGGGAAGGGCGGTCTCTACATCGGAAAGGCGATCCTGAAAAATAACGTCTTCGTTCTTGATTTTGTTCCAGATCTCGGCACAGCAGACAGCGACGGCATCGTCACCTTCACTTCCTGGACCCACCCTCCAGACCTTGATCCAGACTTCAGCCCCGGTGGCTTCTGGTATTCACACACCATCCCTGAGGCAGAAAGAACAAGGGCGTTAGCAACAATTCAGACAACATCGGCAGTAGCAGAGACAACATCGGCAGCAGCAGAGACAACATCGGCAGCAGCAGAGACAACATCGGCAGCAGCAGAGACAACATCGGCAGCAGCAGAGACAACATCGGCAGCAGCAGAACCATCAACGGCAGCAGCAGGAACGTCAACGCCAGTCGCTGGTCCTTCAACGGCACCACTCCTCGTCGACGACACACCACCGACACCCGCGCAACAACTACACCCAGCACCACGAGAAGTTCATCGAAGCGCCAACTTCACCGCCAGCTTCTATTCCAACTCCGATATGTATCGGCGCTCACCCGGACATCGCGCCACCGAAGGAACATGGCACGCAAGAATGGGACATCCAAGCAACACGGTGTTAAACAACACGATAAGAGCAGGCGTGCTCGATAAAGATGTCAGTAGATCTGCACTGTGGATGCCCGATTGATCCTGGAGAGGGTTACAGGCGCGTTCGCTTGGGTGGTTATGGGCGCACTGACCCGCTACTGAAACAAGCCCTTTTATCCCAATGGTCTAGTGGTTGGGATTCTGACATGGTATCAGAGCGGTCTCGGGTTCGATTCCCGGTGTATGCACATGTAGGCCGTTGCCGCTGTGCTTAGTCCTGGGCCTCCCAGTGTGGGGGGGTGTCAGTAGATCTGCACTGTGGATGCCCGATTGATCCTGGAGAGGGTTACAGGCGCGTTCGCTTGGGGGGTTATGGGCGCACTGACCCGCTACTAAAACAAGCCCTTTTATCCCAATGGTCTAGTGGTTGGGATTCTGACAAATGACTCTCTACTCCTAACCGACGGCAGAGAACTTCAGCGAGCTCGAGGAACATGTTTCACCTGTCCCGAAGCTGACTTACCGCATCAACCGTTCGCGTCTCACCACAACCCAAGCGCACCAGCTTACGCGCCACTCGAGAAGGTGTACAGCGACATCTTGTACAACCGCGAGCCTGGACAAAACGCGTACAACTACACCATCACCTTCATCGACGCCGCCACACAATATGTCTGGCATCTAAACCTTTCGAGCAAAGACATGGCCTTCGAAGCCTTCGTCGCATGGCTCCCAGTAGCAGAGCGAGAATCGGGCGTCAAACTGAAGAGCTTCCAGTCAGACGGGGGAGGAGAATACACCTCACAGAGGTTCAAGCAGTACTTGGCTGAAAGAGGAATCAAGCGGCTCATCTCCCTTCCCTACGCCCATCAACAGCAAGGTGTAGCAGAAAGGATGAACAGGACCCTCCAGAACACCATGCGCAACTGCTTCGTGGCATGCACCTGCCCAACCACCAGTGGCCCGAAGCAATGGACCACGCCGTCATGCTGCACAACTTGCTCTCGTCATCATCGCTCCCGAACAACGCATCACCGCACCTGCTGTGGACAGGAAAACAGGGCAGCACAAAAATGTTAAGGGTCTTCGGCTGCATGGTACAGTACCGGCCCCCATCTGCACGAGCTGGCCGATTCTCCCAACGCGCACAGTGGGGGCTACACCTGGGCATCGAAAAGCATTACAACGCATGGAAAATTTTCGACGTCGAGACAAAAGAGACAGTGGCAGCACGTGATGTCATCTTCTACGAAAACCTCACCCTCCAGTATTACCTTGCCAACTTGCAAGAAGAAAACCCCGACCGCTCCGATGGTTTTCAAGGCACCCGAGCCTTCGCCTCGGCAGACGACGAAGCTGACTGGGACGAGCAGAACGTGGAAGGAGCCTCGGAAGAAGCCGGACCCCTCCCCTACTGCTCCGTCGACGTGCCAATGGACGACGAAAACCCACGCGAAAGCATCAACGCCGAAGCCTATTACCATTTCGCTGACAACGGTTACGTTACACCTGCACAAGTCAACACCGACGAAGCAGAACGCGTAGGACCTAATTTCGCACCTGATCCAGAAGCGGGAGACGAAGCAGTTTATCCCGAGTACACTTCACTCCCCCGCTACACACAGAGTGGACTCCAAATCCTTGGTCTCGTCACCGCAGTTCACGGCGCAGCCATTCCTAAAGAGCCTGCGACAGTTCAACAGGCTCTGGGGGGGGAACATAAGGAAAAATGGCGCGAAGCCATGGACAGGGAGCTAAAGGCACTGGAGGAACGCAACACCTGGAAGGTCGTCCCTATCAGCGTAGCACGGAACAAAACAGTACTCACCGGGAAGTGGGTCTTCCGTGTGAAGACAAAGGCTGACGGCACCATCGACAAGTTTAAAGCTCGCTGGGTCGTACGCGGCTTCGACCAAGAACACGGACGCGACTTCACCGAAACTTTCGCTCCGGTCAGTCGACACACTTCGCTCCGAATCCTCCTCGCGATCGCAGCCATGAAGAAGAAGAAGCTGCGGCAAATCGACGTCGCAAACGCATTCCTCTACGCACCTGTTGACGCAGAAATCTTCGTCGAATTACCGCACGGCTCCAACGGTGAGCCCAATCAAGTCTGTCAGCTGCTTCGCTCTACGGCATCAAGCAAGCTCCGCGGCTATGGCAACAATACCTGCACGCTCGCCTCATTCGCATCGGCTTCAAACAACTACCGCATGATCAGGGCATGTACCGGCTCACGAAGAACACCGACTACATCCTGTTAATCGTCTACGTAGACGATCTACTCTACATCGGCTCGACTGACGGCATCACAACCTGGTTCGAAGGGGAGCTACAGAAGGACCTCACGCTCACGGTCTCATCTACCGTCACACAGTACCTCGGTCTCAACATCCGAGAAGAGGAAGACGTGATCCACCTCAGTGCCGCGAAATACGCAGACACCATCGCCAAGCGCTTCGCACTCACACCGACCTCCATCTCCACACCGTTCCGCTACACGACAGGAAGCAGCAAGGGAAGCTCCGATCTACTTAAGCCCGCCGGCATACGCGACTACCAAAGGAAACTGGGTTGCCTACTTTTCGCAGCCGTCACCTGCCGCCCGGACCTATCGTACTCTGCAAGTCAGCTCGCCACCTACCTCAAGAAGCCTAAAGCGGAACATCTAGCTGAGCTCGACCGCGCTCTTCACTACCTCGTCAGCACCCCGACGACCGGCCTAACTTACTACAAGAACGCAACTACACCGCCTAAGTTAATCGGCTACGTCGACGCCGATCACGCTGGCGACTCCGACAACAGGCGCTCTCGCACCGGCTACATCTACCGCCTCGAACCTATCGGACCTATCTCTTGGCAGTCGAGCAAGCAGGAATTAATCGCCCTCTCATCAGCTGAAGCAGGATATATTGCACTCTGTTCAGCCACCAAGGAAGGACTTTACCTTCGCGAACTGCTGGAAGAAGCGAAGCTGGCTCAGTTACCCAGCTTCACTCTGTTCTGCGACAACCAGTCGGCAATTCTCATTGCCAACAAGAACGGCTTCGCGAACAGGACGAAACACATCGCCCTGCGATATTTCTTCGTAAAGGACGAGATCGAGAAAGGGAGGCTCGAGCTGTCATACTGGCCCACGTGCGAGATGGCAGCTGACTACCTGACCAAGAAGCTCGGAAAGCAGAAGTTCGAGTACTGCATGCTGCTGACTGGACAGAGCCACGTCACCAGCAGCGACACTCCAGAAGCGAAGGGGAGTGTTGGAAACAATCGATCTTAAACGCCTCTGTCGTGTCGAAACACTAAGGCACAAACGAAGCGAAGCATATCGAAGCACCGGCGAGTCAACCCTCGGAGGTTGAAAGTAACTGTTGGAGGTTACGCGAAAGTCAAAGGTCAGCGACCTTTGACCTGACAAAGTACAGCGCGACAGCAAGGACACACAACTGACTCGCTACAGAGCAGTTGCCCGAGTCGTCACTGTATCGAACCGCAACAGCAACAGTAAAACAGTTATAACTGTACCCCTTCATATTCCTTGTACTCTTATATAATCTTGTATCTCTCTGTTTTTAATCAATCTACTTTGCCCTCACATACTAGCGCAAGGTGGTTCAACTACTTCATTAAAGCTTCCGCTATTACATCAGTCCTACCCAGAGTTCACCCCTGCAAAGATCCTAAGGGCTATTTCTCAGCCCAACAGTATGTACAGTCCATGTTCCTATGGGATGTTCTAATGCTGAGAGCAGCCATTGCTGTGGCCAGCATGCCTATGAGGGCTCTTTCAGGAGCTCCTTCTGTGCGCCCTGCTGCTGCTGCTGTAGACAGGCCTTGGCTGCCTCTCATGCACCAAACCCTCTCTCCTCCCCGCTTGCTGCTTCACCCCCTCCCTGCCACACACGCCACTTGCCACTGCTCTGCCACCTTCTGCCTTCACACCACCCTGCCTTCCACCTGCTGCCCTCCCTGCTGCTCCCTCCCCACACCCACCCTCCTCTCTCCTCTTCACCCCACCCGCTTGTCTGCTTCTGGCATTGTTAGCTGCTCTCACTGATGATGTAGCACCACGTGATCCCGCAACTACAGATGCTGCTGCACATAGGGCAGAGCTTGCAAGCGTGTTGTTAACCTTACCACCCTTCACACCCATGCTCACCACCTTGCTGCTGCACCCATTCTTGCCCTTCGCGCTTTCACCCCCCACCTTGCACCTTGCTGCAACAGCAGGCTTTGGCTTCTGTGCTGCTGCTGCTGCTGCTTCTCTTACTGGTGATGTTGCAGCAGATGATTTCACTGTTGTTTTAGCTGCGGGCGAGGGAGCAGCTGGAGCTGCGGACACTGCTACTGCCGCTGCTGCTGCAGATACAGGAGGCACAGTTTTGCGAGTCAGATTCGCCACAGCATTAGGATGCTTGGGCAAAAAGCAGACTCGCAGGGCGGCTTCAATGGCCGCTTCAATCTCATTGGACCACGATGTCTCCTTGCTCTGCTTGTCCCACCTCAGGAAAGCAGCACGTGTCAATGCAACATCCATCGCTTGAACCTCCTGACGCAGCTTCGACCACCTCGTTTTTTCACTCGGATCAGCAGCACGTCCATTCGCCTCCTCGGATATTGCTTCTGTTGGTACAGACGCTTCAGCCACCTGTGGTGCGGTTGAAGCCACTGGAGCCACAGGCGCTACCTCAGGCACCACCACAGGCGCAACCACAGCAGACGGTGTGACGGGAGCAGCGTTGACGACCACAGGTGCAACGGGAGCAGCAGGCTTGCCTCCGAAGCGGCCGATTCCAGGCCGCTTCACATCAGGTGCGTCAGCTACGTACGATTTGATAGGCTTACGCAGGGCGTCAGCGAGACCTTGCGAGGACGACGCATGCATGTGCTTCGCCAGTGTCTCCAGCAGCGGCCTCACGCTCTTCAGAAGCACACTGCTGCAGCAAAACTCAGCGTCGCTGGTGCAAGCAGCAGGCTTGGCAGGAGAGTATGATGCAGGCAAGAAAACGGTTTTAGGGGTTCCGAACCTGCCAATGCCTCTGGTAGGCGTTGCAGGACTGCTCGAGGTTTGAAAAGCAGAGTTAACATTGCAGTTATGAGCGTAAGAAGCCATGTTAATTTGGCTGCGAGGAGACTGTTGATAGCAGATTGCTGGAGAGAGGCTGATCGTTGAACAAATATTGATTTCTGGAAGGTTTGTTGACTGAGAATCGACAGAACGGCAGGGGAATGATGAGATACAACTGTGACGACCCCGTTTCTACTCTACTCCGCCCTCGGCCGCTCAACCCTTCACGCCCACATTTCTCCTCTGCCTGACCATTGGAGTTCCAGCCTCGGCCTGCCTCGGCCTGATCATTCGCGTGCCACGTCACACAGATCAAACGGTGGGGAAAGCAATGAGCGAGGTGTGTGGACGGATTTCAAAGCGTCTTTCTCTGGAGGTTCAGGTTCGGGAATCTTAGTGGAGCCGCGTCAGGCAAAATCATCGGAATCGGAGGTTCGGGGACATTCTCTAGGTGTCACTGCGTTTCAGGTAGCGCCACCTCAAGCAATTTTGAACGATCGATCGCAGGTTCGCTGATTCAACCGTACTGACTTCCTGCTGAAAGCATTGAAATCTTTCAATACCATATGAAACTCCTAAAACATTCGATCCTACGCAGGATCGATCGCAGGGTCGGTGCTAGAGGTGCCGCGTCCTCAGGCTCGTGAGACCGTCGAGCCGCGTCACCAGTTTCCCGCCACTGTTTTCGTAAAAGATTCCTAGCCGTTTCCGGGAAGCTCTTTTTAGGGCGGGTCCAGCGCGTACGTTTTCCGTACATTACAGTTCATTCAGTGCGGTAATTTGTATTGCGTCACGCTTCATAACGGTGAAATATCAGAACCGCTGTGCACCATCTAATATCTTTTCAAACCACGACGAATGAACTGTATAGTACCTGTAAACGTACGCGCTGGACCCGCCCTTATAAGAGAAGAGACACACAGCTCGCGAAAGCCTTTCGCAAAACCATCGCACATCGCCATGAAAATCGTTTCCAAGGTTTGTGCTGAGCGAACGCCATGCTCAGTTGCTAGATTCGGATCAGCAGCCATAGGGATTGACGTGGTGTGCTTGGGTGGGAAAGAGGCTTTGAGCTATCCTCGATATGAACTAGCTGGTCGATTCTGTTCGAAACATTATCTACATGCCAATACTATTGCGAAATTTTCTTTCCATGAAACCAATAACACCTTAACACTTAACTTGTTTACGAGAAATCTATCATACCAAATCTGTCAAACATACTGTAATAGTCGACATACCGGTATGACATCTACGGGTGTTATTATGGGGGACTAAGGTTATGGGTAATTAGACATACGATATATCTATAAAACAAAACACAGTGTGCACAGAATAAAAAACTTGGCAAGAAGCTGCAGCCTCCCACGCACCAAAACACAGTGTGCACGCTCATTTTAACACTCTATTTACACACAACTTAAGCAGCGTTGGCAGATGGCACAACACCTAGCGTAACTAAACATTTCCAAGTATCCCCTCATCCCACACTGGTTCAACCAGCAATCTTAGTCTTTGGCTTGCGAAGCAGATACTCCAGGTGCAGCCCGTTGATCTTGGCTGCCAGCACAAAGTCGTTCTCATGCAGCCCACCTGCAAGGGGGGAAGGGCACGTGGGCAGCATGAGCTGAGCATCCACAAGTTGACAATCAATGTAAGCCACTATTGACCACATTGTCATGTGAAGGTCCACGTCATGTTCGCGGTCTAGGTAGGGATATACTGTAACGATGTGCTGTTAGTGTGTGAGGCGTACCGATGGCGTGCGTGTATATGTCAATGCGCACATGGTTCCATCCTTCCAAATGGAGGTCTGGGTGATGACCTGTAGTTGACATAGCATGGAGTCAACATGGCATGCAGTCAAAACGGTATGCCGGGCACACGACGTGCAGAACACAACATAAATAACAAAAAGCAGCAGGGATAAGAGACACAAGGCAAGTGCAATGGATTAGAAATAAAATCAGAGTATTCTCCACTATGCAACGCCGCACCGCACCCCATCATTCATGCCCCAGCCAGAGGTGCCAAATTCCACCCTTCATAGCAGGACACATCGATGGGCAAGAGTTTGCTGGAAATGAAGACACACTTAGGGCGTGTTCAGATTTATAGGTGCAGCACCTTTTCGTGAAAATACCGGACTGACATACGCTCCGGAATGAGCAAAAACTGGACCCCAGTTTGGGCCGGGAGAAACTGATTTGTCACAGGACAGAGCAGGTTATAGTTCAGGTTGCACCCTTGCTCATGTCTAGTTGGGGCTATGTCTAGTTGGTACAGCCATTCAAGAAGAGCGGCGAACTGCACAGTGCCTGAAAGTACACATGATCCAACCAAGCCTCCACTGTGAGACAAACTCTGTTCAAGCTCTTGTGCCACAGAGAGGAGCACCACAAGAGAGGTGGCATGTGCCAGCAGCAACACAACACCCACCTTCAGCTTCGGCGACCTGAGTGACGCGGTCAAAGAGTGTGAGGCCCGCAGAGAAGTTCCGGGTGCGTGAGCAACACCCACCTTAGGCCTCTTCAAAAAAGGCGCAGCACCCACCTTCTGCCTCAGCGACCTGAGCGACGCGGTCAAAGAGAGTGAGGCCTGCGAGGAAGTTCCGGGTGCGCCACTGCCGGCGGATACGCTGGTAGCCGCCCTCCTCCACCACCTCCCACCCCGCCACCTGTCTTGCACACCGCACAGCACCGCATACGAGCAGTCACACCCCATGTAGTAGCAACGTACACGTCACATATCATGCCCAGAGATAATTCGTGGTACGATGCAGAGTGTTATGTCCCATAAATTGAAGGTAGAACGAAGTGTTGTAAAGAACACATTAAGAGGTAGGGACTTGTAAGCCACATGTTATTGCGCTCGTGCAAAGGCAATGGCAGGGAGGAGGGCATGGGGAGCAGAGCGATGGACGTGGGATGGGCATGGCAGTGAGGAAAAAGAGTGGTAACGAAGGTGATTGTGACATGTGAGAGTGGATGTGAGAGTGCATGTGAGAGTGCATGTGAGCGTGCAAGTGTGCATGTGAGAGTGTGGGCGTGCATGTGAGAGTGCATGTGAGAGTGCATGTGCGAGTGCATGTGAGTGCATGTGAGAGTGCATGTGCGAGTGCATGTGAGTGCATGTGAGTGCACATGCATGTGAGAGTGCATGTGAGTGCATGTGAGAGTGCATGTGAGAGCATGTGGGCGTGCATGTAAGCGGGTGAACTAGTCAGCAAGCCTCACATCACATGAAATTTCATGCGCGCACCACATTCACATTCGTGCATCCTGCAAGTTATGCAAGAGACCTGAAGCTCTTAAACGTGGCAGCAGCTGTAGCAGCTGTAGTGGCGCCCACCTGGTCCAGCAGAGTGGCGATGCGGTCAGTAGGCAGTGGAAGCAGCCCCTTGCCCTCACACGGCACACAGCGCCGACTCGCCAATGGTGCTGTGCGGGGAAGGGGAAGGGGGGAAGGGCGATGGTGGCATAAGAGGAGGGAAGGAGGAGGTGAGGGGTGAGATGGAGGCAATGAAAGGAAGAAATTGGGAAAGAGGAGGGAAAGGCGTTTGAGTGGCAGCAGCATGGAGCATGCGAGTGAGGGGAAGGCTGTGCACGAGTGCAAGAGCTAAGGGAGGAGGGGAGGAGGGCAACGAGGGTTCAAGGCGAGCGAGTGGTTTCACAACACTGTTGGGCTTGGTGGGGTGTGGAGTGGTGGTTATGTTAACGGGTCGGTCACTAGCACGGGAAAGAGAGCGAACAGGAAAGAGACGAGGAGGCCGCTGGAGTGATGGGGAGAAAGAGGGAGGGGTGGAGGGGTACGAAAGGAGGAGAGAGCAGGGCGTTTCTAGTCTCAGCGTACCTCACCACCGCTTATCACTCGACAACCACTCACCATCGCTCATCACCGCTCACCACCTCATCACCGCTCACCTTCCTCTGAGCTGCCGGCCATCTCCGCATTGGACGGCGACGTCGCCATGGTCGCAACGCCACGTGGCTTTTCACTGCGGCTGGTGGCGGGGCACGCGGCGGCGGTGGAGCGCGGGCGGGCGGTGTGGGGGAAGTACGACTGGGGGAGAGTAAAGTGGGGGAGGCACGCGCGGGGGAGGCGGGCGGTGGTGGCGAGGGCACGCGGGCAGGCGAGGGAGGACGACGCGACGCGGTAAGCGGCGAGGGCCATCAAGAGACGGAGGTGGGGCGGAACGAGAGAGAAAGGGAGAGAGCGAAAGTGAGCGAGTGGGGGCTTGGACGAGGGAGCAGCGCGAGATGCGACTCCGACGCAGCGTGCATGCGATGGCGTGGAAAATCGGAAATTCGGAATGCGGAGAGGCAAGTGCTGGAGAGTGTATGAATGAAGTGGTCCCTCCGATCCGAGCGACAGACAGCCCGCCAAGGAGAGTATGAATGTGGGCCTACCGCGCTTTGAAAGACCCAACACAGGCCAGATGGGATGGGACTCGTCACTTTCAAGAAAGCCGCAAGTCGATGTGAGTGACATGCATCTCTTCTGTGATGCGTAGATGTGACGTGGCGTGACGAATCCGAAGTGGTGTGGCGAGGAATGTGCTGTAACGGGGATGGTTTACGATGGCGCGTGTCTTCGAAACAGCGTTACGTGTAAATGAGTTGAAAAAATGGCAGCAAATTTGTTAACATGACTCGTTTCACCAACATAATCAGCTGCCAACACTTGCCATGCCATCCCTATCAGATATAGGCTATGATAGACGAGCCAGGCTATTTGATCGCCTGAAAAATCTTACCAATTTATAACCAGGTGAGCCACCATGCAGCAAGCATACGGTAGTATGTGCTACGCCTCACCATACACTTTGAATCAAACCACCCATTGAAAATTTATTCCCACTGCTACACAGCTCAATCTTACTCCCCCTTGCTGAAACCCACGTCTATGCCCACCCTCCTCTGCACCCACTGCACCCTCCTCTGCACCCACTGCACCCTCCTCTGCACCCACTGCACCCTCCTCTGCACCCACTGCACCCTCCTCTGCACCCTCCTCTGCACCCTCTGCACCTCCTCTGCACCCTCCTCTGCAGTCCCAACTGCACCTTCCCCTGCACACTCCACTACAGCCCCCTACCCCTCCTTTCCAGGGCTAGCAGCACTAGATGGTGTCCGTCCACTCCCCCCTCCCTTACTCTCCTCCCCTCCCACCCATGAACTCAGCCCCCCCGAGCCTCGCCTCCACAGGCCCCCCACACCGCCTCCCGACCCCTCGTCCGATCCTTTGCGCCCAAACAGCCTTAGGGGACTACCCGCGGGGCTCCTGCCCGTGCCTGGCAGGTCGGCGCACGGTGCTAAGGGGCCCGAGCCTGAGGAGGTTCGGAGAGGGGAGGCCCGGCCTTGGAGCGCCTTGCTTAGGCTGCTGCTGCTGCTGCTGCTGCTGGTGCTGGTGTTGGTGGTGGCGGTGTTGGTTGCCGCTGCTGGAATCGGGATGCTGCTGCTGCTGCCGCTGCTGCTGTTGGAGAGGGGTTGTGGGAGGGTAGATAGAGACGTGTTGCTCCCACTAGCAGCACCAGCAGCGGGCGCAGCGGCGGCGGCAGCACTAATGCTGCTGCTGCTGCTGCTGGCACTGGTCTTGCTCTTGCTGCCGCCGCCCACTGTGTTGCTCTTGCTGCCGCCGCCCGCAGTGTTGCGGAAGGGCCAGAAGTTGACGATGCGCTCAAAGACCGTGCCCTTGAGGAAGAGGCCGGAGAAGCCCTGTGGCTGCATGGGCGGCGGGAAGTCCTCGGGCGGCATGGCGAAGGGATGCAGCATGCGGTCCATGCGGCGCATGGTGAGCGTGTCGGGTGCGTCGTTCTGCACTGTGAAGGGGGGAAGTACCGGCAGTGTGTGGTCCTTCTTTGATGGTTCTACCTGTCGTGGGCGGATGGGGGGTTGGGAGGATGCATGAGAGGAGCATTGGGGGGTGCAGCATGCGGTCCATGCGGCGCATGGTGAGCGTGTCGGGGGCATCGTTCTGCACCGTGAAGGGCGGGAGGACTGGTAGCGTGTGGTCCTTCTTTGCTGGCTCCACCTGTGGTTGTGGGGAGAGGACGACGGAGAGGAGCGAGAGGGGTTGGATGAAATGTGCTGCGGTGCATCGGACTCGTCATCCTTCTTTGATGAATGAACCCACCTGCTGCGGTGGAGGAGGATAGATGCAAGCAGTAAGAGGCGTGGAACGAACTGTGTTGTGTGTCGTATTGGCATCATCTTATCT